TTCCATCACTACCGATCAGAGCCAATCAGAGCTGGAGCTGATAAACACCTGAGACTATGGAGGAGTAATTTCACCCAGGAGTGAATGCTGATTGTAACTTTTCCAATTGAATAAAAAAGCCAGATGTTAGTATTGCTGTTTTTTTGTTGGTTTTATTGTGCAGTGGGAAAGGGCTTCATAGAGGAGCATGATTGTTACTATATGGCAGTAATTAGGAAATAATACTGTGAGAGAAATTATTTTTTAAGAGTGCTCTAAGTTGCTTGTGGTTGAGAAATTAATGACAAATGGAAGAAAATTGCAAAAGAAGAAAAAGTGTCATTGCTGTTGGTAACCTGAGACGTTGAAGAACATTACATAGTGTTTGTTAGACAACTGTACCGAACACGAAGGGAGTCGAGGAACAAACAGAATTAGAAGCTGAGAAACATAATCATTACCTGCAAGTAATAAAACATTACATATTATATGTAATAGTCCCCAAAATGGATATAATGCATTATGACCAGCAGGAGTAAGCACTGATTTGGTGAGGGTTAGGGTTAGGGCTGCCCAACTTTGACTTGAGCAGAGGTCTGTTTAATCAGAATAACTGAAAACCCCATTGAGGGTTTGCAGGGCCTTTAATATTTGTGGTATCTAAAACAGACAAACATATTTTGTCTATAGCAACAGTATGAGTAATAAGGAGCTGGACTGCAGTGCCACGGACAGTTAAGGTACACCTCTAGTGTCTTTTTGTAGCCAAACATAATTAAAATGTATTTATAATTTAGGATGGAGGCTGTAACCGTGAGCTCTTACTGCTAAGAATCAGGGTTAAGTTTAAATACATTAATTTCTAATTTTCTCTCTGTGGAGATAATGCTAGTCACCCACCGTTCCTAAACATAGTGCATACAAAACAATCAGTATGACTAACTGGAATTTACCAGGGAAATGTGGAAGATCTGGTGTCTCATTACTTAACATGTTGGCTGCGTAACAAGCCAAACTCCCAACAACTTGGTGCATTCCTTTAAAAACTCACCATCTCCCACACACACCCACACACACCAGCCGTAATATTAGCACTAAATATATCACTGTAACCAGTGCCTGCGGTGCAGTCATGCACATTTGGCAAAGAGAGGGGCTTCCTTCTCCTACTCTTCTGTACATGTTGGCCTGAACTGAACTCATGGGGTTGTGAGGGGCACTGCAGTCAAATCTCCAACCCATATGAGAACAAACTGAGAACTGCAAAGTCATTATTACTTCACTAATTAATCAATGGCAAAAGCAATTAATTACAAAAGTAGTTTCATTACTCAGCACAGTACTTTTGTTACTCAGTCAAAGTTTTCTTAAAACAACTCCAAAGCCACCACTCCTACACATCACATCCTCTGCTTTTACATTTATTTCTGTATCTGACTGCAGCACTTGTCCCGTCCACACAGTGAAGCCACCGGGTTCACACACTCTCAGACTTGGAACAATATGAGGTGATTCCCGAATGTTCAAGCTGGCTAAAAACACATAACATGTGAATAAGCTGACTTTGGAGGTACTACGAATTAAGCATAGCGTTAGTTCAGGCAGGACACTATGTCAAGCTCAGCTCACATTCCAGCTACATCAGCTGATCTCAAGCAACCTAATCAAATGATGGAGCAGCTGACTGATGGAAGGGAGTCAGCTGATAGATCACGTTTCCTTTCTATGCAACCAATTGGCAAATCTCATTCAGAGCACCCTATTTAAACTGCTCTGGCCTGCCTACTGTTGCTGCTTCCTCTGCAAGCTGCTTTGCAACCTTCCTCCACCCCAGCTCCTCCTTTTCATGATGTGTCTGACTTCAGTGTCATTTCTGTTTGTAATTGCAGCTCTGTTCTGTTCCTGGGGGGGTCTTTGCTGCTGCCTTAGGATTTCCATGTAGGCGCGTGGAAGGGCAGGGAGGTTTGTTCTCTCTGCTTTAAGGCTTTCCACATAGGTGCGAGGAAGAGGCTTTCTGCATAGGCCCAAGGAAAGGCAGAGAGGCCCCAGAACAGAGCCATATCTCCAAATATAATACTGCAAATGGAAATAAAGTTTTTTTGACTAAAGTGTTCCTGACTGAAGTTGCATATCTCCTCTTATTGTAGAGGCTGACTGCCCTCCTGCACCTTCAGCCCCTAGCATGGAGCTAACACATCTTGTCATTCTTGAACACACAAAGACAAGACTGACATCAACCTCCATCAAAACTTTCATTACAACAGCAAAGATGCTGACCCACAAAATACCAAAGTATGACCAAGTACGAATTAAGGGTTACACTAAAAAGTTGTGAACTTAGGAGTCCTCACTGTACACGCACACATCTGATATCCTAATGCACTACAGAGGCTCCTGTCAGTACAGTGACTGGGTTCCCTCAAGTTTATTTTTAGGGTCTATATTTGCTGATCTTTGGGTGAGTAGACAAGGGATACCCCAGTGATATCAGTACACACACACACACAGCTGCTTGTATCTACCCCTGCCATGATTTAATGCTCCACCTGTTGCTGAATAGCAAGACGGTCATTAAATACACATTTAATTTGTCTCTCTCTCTTTCTCTGTCTGTCACTTCCTTTACCCCTCTATTTTCAATTTGACCTGTGTAAAACTCAGTGTATGTTATATCTATTAATGCATCTATTGTCTCTTTTTCCATTTAAGGGTTACTTTGTTATTTTACACTTTAGTATGTCTGCTTATACCATGAGCACAAAAGCAATATAAGGCTTTAAGATTCCCTCTGTCCCCTCCACCTTGCACTTTGTTTACTCTGCTCTCCAGTGTTAATATCATCGTTACCCCGTCATTATCCCCATTATTTCTCCGCCAGTCTCCAGTCTTGTCCTTGACAAACTCTTGGCCTTCTTCATCTCGTTTATTGCCTCATTTACATTAACCCATCCATATGTATGTCTGCTTCTCTCCATCTTCCTCTCTTGACCCTTTCGCACCACTACAAATTTCTTCAGAGTGTTGTCCTCAGCACCACGCCCCACCCCTCCCTCATCCTTCTACAATGCTGAAAGGTGATGATGATTGGTAATTCAGTAGAGAGGAGAAAGCCAAGAGTCTCAGGGCAGAGAACAGAGGGTCAGCACAGGATATGAAGAGACAGACAGATAAGTATTGTTTATGCATAAGGCAGTTGAGCACTGTTCAAAGACAGTATAATAGGGACATGATCTCTGAAAAGTGGTCAACCCTAAATGCCAGAATAAATGTTGGTGCAGTGGTTTAGAATTGTTGCTTCACAGCAAGAGGGTTCCTGGTTCAAACCCAGGATGGGAATTTGGTCAATAGAAAACAGTAAGGGCGCCTGGTGGTCTAATGGTCAAGATGCATAATACATAATGGGCACGTCCACACATTTGTTCCAGCCTGGGACCTTTGTTGCACATCATACTCCTCTCTTTCCCAATTTCTCTTTTCTCACTTTCAACTGTCAAACAAAAGACAAAATGCAAGCTGTAGCTAAAAGCCTAATTCAAAGGATTATTAGCTCATACTAACTTAAAGGCTTCAAATAATATCAGTATCAACATACAAAAGCTCTTCTCACAACAAAAAGTCTACTTAAGGATAAACTGCCCGCTTGTTTAACTGGCTGCGGCTTTGTAACAGCTCAAGAGGCTCTCATACATGCAGCTACCATAAATGAATTCCTCTCTTTGCCTTGACTGGCAGAAGGGAAGGAGATGGCCTCTTACATCACTCAATAAAAGATAAGCAAATGAGAGAGAGGAGGGAAGAAAGAGAGAGGAAGAGACAGAGGAGTCACACAAGCTGTCAGGATCCTGACTGAATACAGATTGATAAGTGATAAGGAGATATGGATGCAGAGAAAGAGCAGCAAATTTGTTGTTTGATACGGGGAGAGGAAAGTGGAAGGGAAGGAGATGTGAAGGAGAGATTAGGAAAGTAATGGACAGAGCTGAGCAAAGAGATGACAGGAGAGATACTGGGAGAAAGGAATTAGAGAGTGGAGGTTGTTTGGGGTAAAAGGGAGATGGGGACATAAAACTTTAGCATGGCTTTCTTTGAGGGGAGTCAGAATCCCAGCCCATGTGGTGAAAGTACTTTGCTCCCTTAAGCTGTTCAAGTTCAAGATCGGGTAAGAGTAAGAAATCCGACTTTTGTAAAAGGGCTGAAGATGTGTGAGTTAGGCTCTTGGTATGTGGGATTTTTGTGTGCTACAGAATGATCTCTCATGTAAAACTGCAGCAGGTTTTTTTGACCACATGGGGGCAGAACACCACTACAGCCTAAAACTTAGACTGTGAGTTTATCACTACAAGTTTATGACACATTTCATCCATTGCTCATATCAGAAAATTGATTAATGGAGCTTTAAGCAAAAGGAAGCATTGTTACCCACAATTTTAGAACACCAATATCAGTTCTTACATAAACGTGTTGCTTTTTTAATTCAAAGGCTAGAATGAAAACTAATTGTTAATGTTCCCCATGTATTCCTTATTTATATTTCCTCATCATCTATAATTCTTTTGATTTTATACAATTTATCCAATGAGTTCTTGTCATGTATTAGTTTAGGAGTAGTCTCACTCACTAGACCAAAGGTCTGGCTGGGCCGACTCTCACTTTAAGATTGGAGAAAAAAAAAAAAACGCCCCGACTGCTTGTATTTCTTTCAACCAATCACAATCGTTCTGGGCAGTGCCACAGCAACGGTGCGCTTGCAAAAATATTGCCGGGGGGAAACAGGTTTTGGTGTAACACGCCCACAAAAATATCGCCTACAGGATGCGAACCATGGCAGAAAAATGGCTACATGCCCACAAGATCAAACACCACAAAAGTTAGTAAAGGACGTGTTGAAAACGGTTGAAAACTGCTACACAACCGGAGGTGGTAGGGCGGGACTTCAGTGGGTGGCTCGTTCCGCCCAATCAGAGGCTGATCTATGCAGCAAACTTCCGCCCATTCAGACTAGTTTAGGAGGGACCCAAATGCAGAGCAGCAGGCAGGTTGGAGATTTCACAAAAAGCAAGCATTAATAAAGCTGATAAAAAAAAATAAAATCCAAAACAGGCAGATAACTGAAAGTGCAAAAGAAAGAAGAACCAAAGCTAAACTGAACTGGTATAATATGACAAACTCAGGGAAGAAACCCAAACAGAAGACAAGGCACCAGGCTGGAAACCGAGCAGGGAACGAGACCAAGAACACAGGGATGAACACAGACGAACTAACAAGGAACGAAGGGAAACACACAGGTATATATACACAGAAAACTAATCACAAGAACGAGACACAGCTGGAGTAGGAGGACACGCGCAAAAGGAGGGAAATGGAGATTGGCTTACAACAAGGGTGTGGTGGGAACACTAGGGTGGAGCAAACAAGACTAACACAAAACAGGTGTGAAGGAAAGACTCTGGGAACAGGGACGGACTAACGAGACTGGTGGAAGACAGACAGGTGTGATAGAAAGCAGGCGGGAAAACACACAAAGACAGGAAGTAAAACCAGACACGACTCATTAGGAGAGAATACCAAAATAACACAGGAAACAGATTAAACATGAATTAATAACATAAAATAAGGAAGAACACAAACAGAAAACCCCAAAACAAAGTCCACAAGATAACAAAAACCAGGATCATGACAGTTTTAGGAGGAGACTCCACCTCTCATGGACATGTATAGACATGCATGTATATGTATGTTAATCTCTACAATATATTTTGATGTGCAAACAAAAAAATCTAAAAATAAAAAAGGTTAAATTCTTATAAAGCATATTTTTCATCTCCTTATTTGTTAATAATTGGGCAGGAAAAGTAGCAGAACAAGACTGCAACGACAGCACAGCACTGTCTGCAACTTCAATATTTCCCCCTCATTTTTAAACTTCTACAAAACAGTGGCAGCTGTGGCAGTGTGAGGACCCGTGCTTTATAACAAGATGATAAATCAAAGCAGATAGGAGTAAAAGTGATAGATGTGTGTGGACACAAAAGAGGGTCACGCAGGGAGAGAGAGAAGACCTGGGTGGAGATAAGTTCTGGGGGAACAGTCAGATAAAGTGGTATTATAAATAGGTCTGTGTGTGATTTGTAAGCGCTGCAGAGAAAGCGATCGCACTCCAGGGCCAACGGTGTGTGCCTTGTGTCTTGACAACCAACCCGCCTTTCTCAAAATAGAGAGAATACTGAGTGGTGGGGATGTGGTGGGTGCGGGGGTGTATGAAGTAAGTGTGTATTATGTTTGGAGGCAGCTATAAAAGTGTCCTCCCTCCCAACTTCTTACCTCCATCTCCAACCCTTGTCTCTTGTCTCTTCTCTCTCCATCACCTCTCCTCTTGCCCTCTCTCTGTCTCTCAGGTGCACTCATCCACCCCTTCATTCAGGTAAGAGATAACACAAATATTAAATGTTGCAGCAGTGAATAGTTATTTGAAAAGAGACCCAATAGAAATCAGAGGCGCTTTCATCACTGGCAACAATGAGCCATAAGCTATTGTGAACAGAAAAATGAAATACAATGATTACTGACGTTATCTGTGACAAGCAGGTATGCTGCAAGTGAATGAAATACCTACCTTTGGTAGTTGTATGAATAATTAAGTCGGAGAGAAACACAATAATAAAATATTTTGTAGCTGTAGAGTTTGTAGCAGGAGTGCCTCTGGATATACCTTTGAGTTAATGCTCTGCTTGAAGCAAAACTGACTCAGAAAATCCATCAGAGGCATTGTGAATGTAAGTTCAGCCAGGATTATAAAAACATGGGTTGGATAAAACTGTAATTAATAAAATACTGAAAATAACTATTAAAAAACATTACAAGTGTCACAACTTCATAAAATATTGGAGTGCCACCATTCTTAAGTGTTTGGTTTAGACTATTTCTTTACTTCCCAATATACTATATAACTTAACGAGACAGTTACAATCAAAAATACATATTTTTCCTCATACCTGTAGTACTGTTCATCAGTCTAGATTGTTTTGGGGTGAGTTGCAGAGTGTTGGAGATATCAGCCGTAGAGATGTCTACCTTCTCTCCGATAAAATAAAACTAGATGGCACTCAACTTGTGGTACTTAAAGCGCCAAAAAATATATTTGAAAAACTCTACAGCAATGTCTCTTTCCAGAAATCATGACCTAGCCTGGTTACTCAAGATGATCCACGGACCTTGCTGTGAGCAGTTTTATGTAGAAACTACTGTCTTTTCCTGAACCACCCCCGCCAACCATATCACCGTGCATATGCTCATGACAGTGCTGGATGTAATGATTAAGGGGGTCATCCTCTGCTGATGTTAGCTAGCTCAGTGGTGCTAGGTGAGCTAACAGTAGATGCATGCTTTCTTCCTCACAGTGATACTGTTGGCCAGCCTATTGTCACTCCAAACTCGTTGAATACTGCCACTTTGTCAATGATGTTGGCGTCAGATACAAAGAGGCAACTTTCGCACAGTATGACACACACCGGATGTGTTACGTTCAGAGGCAGTGGGCAACAACCCAACTCCTCAAATAATGGTGCTTTGTCAGTTAACATTGGCATCAGACACAGACGACACAGAGGCCCCCTTCTAGGTGGCAGCAGTTTGTAACACCACCAGCAACTAGTGAAATCTAAAGAACCAGAAAGTCTGTATTGAGCAGGAAGAAGGAGAGATGGATGCGTCCAACAAAGTCCAGACTTTCAACCAGGAGCTCACTGTTTGTTTCCCTTGTGAATTTTAATCCAAGGAAATAAACCTAAAAGCAAAGTGTTGGCTCTAAGTTTATTTTCAAAAAGACTCTATGCATGTATTGAGCAGAAACTGTACATTTGCTGTAAACATGGAAGTGTGTTTTGAAAAGACAAGATGTATGTAATGGGCGTAAATTGACACGCCATCCCTGAACATCCCAAACAGACGCAGGAAGGTACCTTGCACATCATATTTGGACGTATGGGTCAACAAACAAAGCAGCAGTAGCCTTTTTGATGAGTATTTGATTGGCAGGAGTAGTTCTGTAAAAATGAAAATAGTTCCTACATAAAACTGTTCACAATAAGGTCTGTGGATTATCTTGAGTAACCGCTTCATCATTTTTGGAAAGAGAGACATCACTGTTGAGTTTTTCAAAGGTATTTCTTTGGCACTTTGAGCACTACAAAGCCAAGTGCTTTCTGGTTCCATTATATAGAAGAGAAGGCAGACATCTCTACAGCAGATTATCTCCAACACTCAGCAACTCAAACTAAAACAATTTAGACTGATAAACAGCTCTACTTTTTATTTGTGGATGAAGTGTCCGATTAAAGAAAGAGACGACAACCCACGTAAATGCAGTGTCAAAATGAACGTGACAACTTCCAAAGTCGTCAATAGTGGCAGCTAAATACTTTCCTGATATCTGTTCAAAATAGTTTCAGCCTGTCTGTTTGGCCAGTCAGAGCCGCTCTTTGATTTTCTACATGATCAGAGTTCTCGTACATACTTCTTTTCTAGTGTAACCAAGCCCTTGGTGCCTAAAAAACATGGATGTTCTGTCTGTTTTGGTTTGCTGTTTATCTTTCACGTCTCATATCCCCTGCACATGGCAATGTGTTACTTCCGTTTTGTTTTGTTTTTTCTGCAGACGCCTGTATCAAATGAACGGTAATGTCAGGAGCAGGTGTTGATCTAATGGGGGCTTTCTTGGCTCATGTGTCACCTTGAACAGGTGTTTATGTTCAGTGCCATGGCACAGTAGCCAGGATTGTAAGTACAGTAGTTAATAGTGATGCATATTCTGGACATTTGTCATTGTTGTTACTATTTTGGCTGGGCCCCTCTTGGAAAAAGGGCCTAGATGCTAAATGAGACATAAAATATACTTTATAAATTATACATTTACTGTGTCATGACACACTGCTGACTGAGTTGTCACAAATCTTTTAAGCACAGAGATTGTCCTGTGCTGGTGTTCTCAAATACAGTTGACCAGCTCTTGTTGCAAATGTTGCAAATGCAGAACTTAAGTTTACAAGTGACATGTAATTTGTGTTGTTTCTTTACGGCACACTAACAGCCAATAACTGACTTTAAATCTCCAGTGAAAGTAATGTGATCTATGAACATGCTATGGTGTTAAAATAAAACCTCACTCATCGATCCCAACAGTCATATTTGTTCACTGCAGGACAGATCGTGTCTGCACTGTAACTTTTTACAATTTAAGCTACACTGAGATAAAAGGGATGGGTTCAAGGACACTTAGGACTCAGCTGCAGTAAAGGGTGTAAAGTGAAGCTTTGGCCTTTTGATCACAGCACAGTTTCTTTCACCACAGCAATTAAATGCATTCTCAAAGTCGAAGCAGTTGAGAAAGAACGTGTGAACTATACAATTTACATTTGGCTGAAGGAATGATGTCAGACACACCAGAGCTCTCTGTCAAGGTTTGTTATTGATGGATAAAAGTTGAGATTATGTGTCCAAACACCCTTTCAAAAACCAATCTGAAACATATTTAGCGGGTGACTTCAAGGCTTTATATTTAAGACATTATCTAACAGATGGAACAAACACATGACAGGAGAGCAAGTTGAGAAGAACTCAGTTTGACAGAATGGAGGAGGATGGCTCTGTCCGTTGGTCAAGGAGGGTAAAACATTTTATGGGGGTCAGACAGCTCAACCTGCAGAGGGACTATCAAAACTACTCCAGTGGGGCTCTGTAGGTCTCATGTCCTCACCACGGCACTGTGTGGCAGCAGAAACGCAGACACGAGGTCTCACAAAGATAACATACACAAGGGAGCCCAGTTCTCTTATAGGCACAAACACACTGATCAAACATTTGTCTTGACAACTTGACACTAGTTGCCAGTGCTCTCAACTGACAAACCCCAAGGGCCTTCAGCTCAGGTCTGACACCTACTGGTACCTAAAGAGTACTGCAGTGTACTGCAACTGAGGGACATAATGACAACTTTTCCATCCTTTGGGGAAACATGACTTGGCAGAGCTTTAAAAACATAGTAGTCGCACACATCCAAAAACCCTTTAAGGCAGGTGCTAGACAAAAAGGTTTCAAGCTGAATGCTCTTCTTCAGACAGAGCCTTTACACTCTTTTTAGCAACATCCAGCTTTACGTTTATGCTACGCACATAGCCCAGACCCCCACTGTGAACACTGTCCCCTCAGTGTCACCCTTGACCCATACACATTTCATCCTATTTAAAATTAAATTATCTGTGCACCATAGTGCACCATAACCCTACTGGATAATTTGCATTTCATTTTGCACTACTTGCACTTTGTCTACCTACATGAATATATAATATCTACAGTATAAAAAGGTCCAACATTTTTATTTAAGTTATTGATTATAAGTAATGTATATTGTTGGTAAGTATTATTTCTTGGTGTTTATCTCCTCTTAAATGCTCTTAGCTACTCTAAATGAAAAATTTCCCCCTAGGATTAATAAAGTGCTCTATATTAGGGGTTAACTGTCCTAACGTCTTGTGTTTTCTTTCCATCATACAATGCATAATTGACATAGAATATACATAAAAATCAGGAAAACTTCCACATATGACAAGCAAAGTTACGTGTTATACATACAGTACATACTGAGTACTCAGGAGTCAAAAATTTGCACTATTCAGTGCGCATTTGAATGTGATACCACATAGTTTAATGAGACATTTAACATTCATGCTGCAGTTTGCATATTAATATTAATGTGGCTGGACATACAAATTTGATGTCATCCATGTCTGTGTGATTCTATTGCTTTACATGATGTTCTTGTCTCTAATGTTTCATGTGCTCATGTTATACAGCCTCTTACAGCATAGGTGAAGTCAGCTGTTCCCTGTATTTCCAAAACACTGCATTTCCCATTTGTAAGTTGGAGGCAAAGACCAGTTACAGCCCGGCAAGTTGTGAAACCCTCCAGTCAAATGTGCTAATGTCTTGTGTTAATGTATAAATAGGACAGTGTCTGTCCAACAGTCAGATGCAAGGAGGCAGAAAGTAAAAGAAGTTTAAGGATCTATGATTACATCTAAAAAGTTTTTAAACAGGAGAATTCACATGAATAAAGACGTAAATTATTTGTGTGCTTGTGTGTTTGTGTATAATGTAGTGGTGTGTATGTGTACAATTGAGATATCTATGTTCCCTTAGTGTATGCCAGACTGTTTTTATGCTCACGTCTTAAATTCTAGACTATGGCCTTGGGTTGTCTCTCCAGTTTTGCCAAGCTCCACTCCACAAAATCCTCTTTGTGTGTGTTTGTGTGTATGTCCTCTCCAACTAACAGACTATATTCACTCCCTATCATCTATTCCTTGAGTGTCGCTGTGCTATTCTTTTAGCTCATTTTCTAACAGCTAATATGTTCTCAGACACTTGCACACAGTGTTGACAGTTTTAGCTGCTCGACTCTTGAGCTCCCATTTTGGCGGATGTCTGCAGTTAACCCTTTGAAAAATTGTTCTTTTATTTCTCACCTGTTATGTGCTCACTGTCCCTCTCTTTCTCTTTATCTCTCTGTCCCTCTCTCCAGCTGACAAAATGTCGATGACAGATCTGTTGAAAGCTGAGGAGATCAAGAAAGCTCTTGAAGCCTTTGCAGGTCCGTAACAGTCGTGGAGCCGACATGATATTCTCAGCAGAAACAGGCCTACAAAGTTCAAGAAGTTAGCTTTGGATACCAACAAATGCACACACATTTTTATCTTTTCAAACTAGTATCTAGACGACTGGCTGTGTGTGTTTGCAAAATATTTCAAACTGGTTAATGTAAAAGTGGAATTTTAAGAGCTGTTAGATGTTCAGTCTCTACCTTCTGTCTTGCCTTTTGTAGCAGAAACATTTGACCCTAAAAAGTTCTTTGAAATGGTGGGAATGAGGGCCATGTCAGCTGAAAATGTCAAGAAGGTCTTCAAGGTTCTGGATGTGGATGGTAGTGGCTTCATAGAAGAGGAGGAGCTCAAGTGAGAAAGTCACACAGACACAATAACACATAATACACAAAACAGCCCAGTCGCCAGACAAAAATGTTGGCATTGTATGTTTCTGGAAACCATGAAGATGTTACATTTGCACACATCAACATTTTTAAAGCTGACTTTGTCATCAGAAGGGGAAGGAGATGGTGAATGGTGTGTACCCTAAGCGTGATGCATCCCAAGCTGCAGGCCGCTATTAAAGACCAACAAAACCAGTTGTGTTTCAGCGAGTCATAGACTCTAAACGTAGGTGTTTTGTAGTGACCTGTCACTGTGTTTTCATCGGCTTTTGAGACTCCAGATGTGGGTGTTTTGCAGTGACCAGCCGGTGTGTTTCTATCAGCTTTTTAGACTCCAGACGTGGGTGTTTTATAGCGACCCCTCACTATGTTTCTATCGGCTTTTTAGACTCCAGACGTGGGTGTTTTATAGTGACCTGTCACTGTGTTTTTATCAGTCTGTTATGCTCCAGACATGGGTGTTTCATAGCGACCTGTCGCTATGTTTCAATCGGCTTTTTAGGCTCCAGACGTGGGTGTTTTATAGCGACCTGTCATTGTGTTTCTAGTTTCTATCAGCTTTTTAGGCTTCAGACGTGGGTGTTTTATAGCCACCTGTCGGTGAGGATAGTGCCACAAAAAGCAGTTGTTGTTTTTTTTTAACCAACACATTGCTGCTTTTCCTGCCAGGACTATGCCCCTAATATATCTGTGGTTTGCAGAAATGTACAATGCCAACATTTTTTCTTGGCTTACACAAAAAGAAAGCTGCTTTCCCAATGGTTGTAATTGTTCATTAATAGTTCTACTTTTCTGCTACATTCTGTACTTTCCTCAGGTTTGTACTGAAGGGCTTTTCCGCGGAGGGCAGAGATCTGACCGACTCTGAGACATCAGCATTCCTCAAAGCCGCAGACAAAGATGGAGACGGCAAGATCGGCATTGATGGTGAGAAAACAGAGGAACACTGTGAAGTATTCTAAAGTTTATTATAAAATATAAAAGCGTAGAAGGTAGAGGAGGTAGAGATTGACGAGTGTACAAGTTAGCATGGAGGCTAAAGGCGGGTTACTGTAGCGCTTCACATCCTGCCTCAGTGAGAAATCCGACCCAGTCTTATCCGTTAAGATGTAGGTCAGTAGAGCTTATCTCATCACTTATGCAAGTGTTTTCTTTTTTTCCAGAGTTTGAGGCCATGGTGCATGAGTAGGGGATAGATGAACACCCCCCTTCTTCTTCCTCCTCCTCTTTGTCCCTGCATTCATATTTTGTAACTGCCACCTTCAAACTCCTCTCACCTTCGTCGAGACCCCACACATGGAGTCAGACCAGGCCTGCTCTCTACAAACTACTGCAGAGGCAGGCCAACAGGGCGTTACCATGAGGAGAAACATACAGGCTTAACAGGCACCAGTTTCATCTTTTCATTTTTTATATATATATTTAATCGCACATGCTGTATGGGTTTCTGAATCATTCATAATGATTTCATGAAGATAGTTTGTGGTCTAAAACAGGTGGTGGTACTTTAGTGCTGTAGATGGTGTAGATGTTATAAAGACTTCTTAAATCTTAATTTCCTTCCTTTGTGTATTTCAGGTTGTGCATTTTGTCTGATTGATTTTACTTCTAGATGTTCACATATCAGTGCACTTTCCTCCCACTCCTCTTCCTCATCCACCTTCCTTCACCTCACCTCCTCTCCTCTATCCCCTTCTCCTCCTCCACACTCCCTGCCTCCAATCAGATGATGTAGTGAATAAAATGATATATAAGGAGAGCTGTGAAGACAGAAAAGATATGAGTAAGAAATGATAATAAAAAACTTGAGTAATAACTGTCTCTTTACTTATTGTTACTCACAGTGGACACAAAACTTTAAACTCACAAAACATAACATTGCAAAACATGTCAATCACAGGGTAGTTAAGAGGATTACAAATTTACAATCATAGGCAAGAAGCTGTGGCCTAAGTTATGATAGATAGATATAGATCTGATATGTATCATACTGTATTTAGGATAAATTACAAAAATAACCCAAGTCAGATTTAAAAAGGATGTTCAGATCTGTGAAATCAGATCTGTATCATATTCAGTGTTGCGCATGTTCACACTTAACAAGAGCTAGCTTAAAGTTCACACAGATTAGTTCACAGACAAAAAGAACAGACTAGTTTCAGGTCATGTCTTTCGTTCTTTTAAATAACATAAAATCTTGTGATCATCATTCACTGGTATATACTTCCCAAGACTGGTCGAATGCTTCAACTCAATGTGTGGTTTCAAATTTGTTGCCAACATGGCCGACATTCAGACTTTTTTTGCAGACATAATTGGCATATAAATGTGGGATGTTTTCCGTTGGAAGTACTGGCAACTGCGCTATGCATGTCCGAAGCATTATTAGCACTAGCCATGTGAGTTGTGTCAGCAAACAGGGTAACGTAAATCCTCAGGTGCTATAAAACAAGCATTGTAAACTGCCGTGAGAGTGAACAAAGCTCACACTCAAGTTCATAAGTTGCAAAATGATGCATTCTGTTCACCAAAATGTGAGCACATTCAATGTACAGCACAACACTGATCACATGAACAAAATATTCTGATTCGGACACATTTGCTGATAAAATACATAGCATGAGAGCGAGACAAATTAAAGTTTCAGAAAAAAAAACTAGTTCAAGGAAAAGATTAACATTTTGGGAAATACAGTTAATTGCTTTTCTTGCACAGATTCAGATGACAAGATCAATACCACTTCCATGTCTGTTGCTAAATATGCTGCTAGAGCCAGCAGCCAGGTAGCTCAGCTTAGCGTTGGATAACTATCCACAAGTATAAACACAAAATATGCTGGTAGGCTGATTTTTAGCCGTTTCCTCCAGTTTACACTCTTAATGTTTAGCTACCCAGCTGCTGGCTGTGGTTTTATATTTAGCAGACAGATATATGAGTGATATCGATGTTTTAACTCTGAGCCAGCGGGTAAGCATATTTCCAAAATTGTCAAGAACATTTTTACTGTAACAGACAAACAGATCTATCTACATAAAAACTTAAGTACTGTACACAGAGTTGATAAAACAACTACTTCAAAACTGTACGGTTGTTTGTTATTAAACTACTAAGATGTATAACTTTTGCTTTTGGTACAAGAAAAACCTCATCTTATCTAACATTGTACAAAAAAAAAAAAAATCACCAAACCTTCCTCTGCCTCTCTGGCTCAAGGCCTTCACACTTCAGAGATGCCATTACATTCTCCTGAAACAAAAAATTGTGCATCCTGCCTCCACAACCTGATCTGGCAGCCTCGGTTACAAACCCAGCCTGCAAGAGCGCTGACGGCTCAGTGGATCTGTGGAGCGGATCTGTCATTGGTCGTCGTGGGGCGAAGCTTTACAGTGGCGAATGGGTTTGTGCCTCTGAAACAAGAGGATGACGAACAATGTTACACAATACCTCACACGCTGAACTGCTCTCCACCAACACAAATAAACCACATACACACACACATGCGCACACTCCAGGTTGGGAAACTAACACCAGACCTCAGCCAGAAGATGGAAAATTTTGACTGTGGATAGAGAGTGTGCTAATGAGCAAGCTGCAGAGATAATGTGTGTAACTAATGTGCATCTACAAAATACATGTACCTGCAATTTAAACATGAGCCTTTTGGATTGTGCATCATCCAATATCTAAGGTCTATGATTTGATCATTTTTCATATCAAAAAATATTCTCATTTCTCTCTGCTCAACAGTTTTCTTATTGATGTGGAAAATCTTCTGAAACAGCACATAAACTAATACCTAAAGTGTCTGTTGAAACCCAGACAACTGCTACAAGCACAGATCTAATACTCCTAAGGTTCCTGGTACATGATCATGCATACTCGTGTGGAATCAAGTCATTGTGTTTCATTAGAATCACTTCAGACAAATTATATCCCAGACACAACACTGACTAGCAAATAGATAATCCTGAATAAATTATTTAAAAAGGTAATGGAATTCATTAGACACTGAATCCAGGGAAACATTTTCCTGTCAACCCATACACTCTGAAAATTACCTGGGAAACAGCGGGTTTTCAGGCGGCCCGTGGGGCGATAATGCCTACGAAAAGAGAGGATTGCACAAAACAAGTGAAGTCGGATAACTGTATCATGGTTTATATGGACACGAAAAAAACATGTTGTCATCCTTTGAAAGTGAATTCTTTTCAGAAGGTACCTGGACATCAGATGCTGATTCACCCTTCCTCTCAGGGAGGGGAGAGATTGGTCGAAAATCTACAGAGCCCCTTCGAAGGTTCTGACTTGAGAGAGGAGGAGGCGGTGGGGGAGGAGGTGGAGGTGGGTGTTCGTTGTAGCTCTTCGTTTGACTTTGCTTTGTCTCCAAGGCCGACTCCAGCTTCTTCTCAGGGAGAGGAGAGATTGGCCGGAAGTCTACAGAGGCTCTGCGGTTGGGTGTGGCTGGCGGCGGGACATCACCGTAGTTCTTGCTCTCTGATTGGTCAGTGTAGGTGTCAGTAGGGTCCAGCAGATTGTTCATACTGTGGCTTCTTACAGAACCACCACTGAAAGGTAAAATGCACAAATATAGGAACTTTAAGTGATTCATAGCAGGAGAGTGACCTGGAATATTTTGGTATATATTACGTCTTACAGAGCAGCCAACTACTAATGCATTGTAGGTATAAGTAGTCATTCTGTTGTGTAATCGCTGTAGGACAACAATCTTTTCTATTGGTGTTCAGGCTTAAGTTTATTAATAGACAGTGTAGACCCTGGGCCAAATCTGGTTCATGATAGGGTGCCAGGTGGCCCGCCAACCATTTTCTGATTCAAAATGAAAATAAACTGATTCATACTGTGATTTTTTTTATCACTTTGAATGTAAATAAGGAGCTAGAGTGTATAAAAAGCATCAAATCGGGCCCAGAAAGGATCCTTGGATACCCCAACAGAGCAAACATTGTAAGGCTGCTAACAGGAAATTAATTTATAATACTGACAAATATTATTAAAGTTTGTTTATTAACTGGCCATTGGCCTCTTGTCATTTTGCAAAAGTCCCCCCCCCGGCAAAGCAAGTTGAGCATCCCTGGTTTAGTATCTGCAACATAACAATGCTCCAACATTCTGTCTCTTGCTGGAGGACACTTTAGCAGATCGTACACTGGCTAGCATCTGGGAGCAGGAACATTTTGAATGTCTAGTTGTCTACTTTGAATGTAAAAAAGGAGCCATAAAGAATAAAGAAGCATCAAATAGGACTTGTTTATCAAATAAGTGTCCAGGAAGGATCCCCCTGATCCCCCAGACAGAGACCTGGGATAAGCCCTAAATGTTCTGAAAGCCTAGAAACATCCCTACGTACATCTGAATTGTGTGTGGCTGCTACCACTGGATTTGCCTTTTGGCAAAGATGAGTGAGCAGAGCAAACATTGAAAGACTTCTAACAGGCAATTCATTTATAATACTGACAAATATTATCAAAGTATGTTTATTAACTAGCCATTGGCCTCTTATCATTTTGCAAAAATGCACAAAGCAAAGCAAGTTGAGCATCCCTACTTTAGGTTCTGCAACATAACACTGCCCAAATAAATGTTACATATTCTGTCTCTCGCTCGAGGACACTTTAGCAGGTCATACGCTGGCCAACATCTATTTTTTAAGGTGAGGGTCTCTCTACATCTAAGGTCAGCTTTTCACACTCAAATCTGCCACCCTATCTCTTGTACATTGTCTGAGGCAGAAATGTTGGCCACTATACTACAGGGTGAACTGTTTTCAACATCTAAAATCCTCTGCTGACATGTGCCGTGCAGATTTAAAGTGATTCCTACCTTGTTGCTAAAGTGTTGGAGAAATCTTCAACAGGGGCCACATAAGCAGCAGGGAACCAGCCCTGACTGGAGGAGATGAGACAGACACAGATGAGGAAAAAACAAACTTCATCAACTCTCTTGTCCCTTTACCAGGAGTATGTGCAGTCAAACAGTCTATCAGAAAATACATACACATAGTTTTTTAGACGTGAAATCAATGTACAAGTTTAGAGTGTCTGTAAACATAAAAGTCAGCTTTCACACTATTTTTCTGCTCTACTTTATCAAACTCTGGTTATACAGTGCTCTTTGTTCTCTTGTCAAATGGAAACCTACACAAAGCACCATTTACATTTCATCTTATAATTTATTGATGTTCAAAGTGAATAGCTTTACCATTTTATCGCACAAAATGACAATTGCTCCTCTGTGTTGCTTTGTTGAGTTGCTGATCAGTAACCATGACTCAACTCTTCTACAGTAAGTTGCTGAGATTTCTCTTTTCAAAACTCTCGGCCTATTCTTCATGCTCCAAGGCTATCAACCTACTTCCTATACTTGCGACTAATGAGCACTGTGAGACATTTTGCTCTGATGATAAAGGAACAAATGACAGTATTGTTATCATTTTCATTCACTTCTCTTTTGTATCCTGAATAACTGGCTTGTGATCTCATCTCTCTTGTGACAATGTAATTTCAGTTTATATGATACAAGGAGGAGTGGGGAGGATAAGTAGCAACGATGGTGCTCGAGCAGTTGCAATTTCTTCTGGTTGCTAAAACTCACAGACCCTCATGTAAACTATTCTGTGGCTCCTTCACCTGCATGCATACATCTTCTATCTCAGCTACCCACCGCAGGCTGCTGTCAGTGCGCCCATACAGCCAGCCGTTGCGTGGCTCTTGGACGAGTACGGTGACAGTCTCTCCCCTGTTGAAAGGCAGAAGCTTTGGGTTGGATGAGGAGGGATGAGATACCAGGGCTCTCATG